TGACTCATTAGCTATTTCAAACCATATGGACTTAGGTTTGGGTGGGTTACTCTGATAATATCCTGAGGTGAGCTTCCTAATTATTGTAATTATGTGATCTCAATCATGAGGCCAGTCACATAAAATAAAGTCAAGAGTCCTTAAAATGGGTGTCAATGCACCTAGACAATGACTGAGTTGAGCAACATGCCCCCTGGATGTTGGAGATCCCTTGATACCACAGAAAGTAATTACTTTAAAAGTTCTAAAAAACTGTCAGTGAACACAGTGCCAACTGAATGAGCACAGCAAGAGCAAGGGACTCTGCACAGATGCAGGAACATGAATAGATTTCTCAGCAGAAATTGGGAAGCAGTCTGCAACTTGATGCCTTGTTGTTAATTTAATACAGAGATACTACATCTCTCATGTAAATTTAGCCATGATATTTTAAGCAACAAGAAGATCTGGAGTGGACAGGGGGGAATTAAATACAGAAGTGCTAAAATGTCAGTGTTAAATACCACAAAAGCATTACAATGAGAAAGTGAGCGAAGCTACAAGTTGCTCACCTACTGTAGCAATTTTAAGCAATTTAAGCAATTAATTTGTCTACATATTACAGCTTCTTATATAATTGAATAAAATATTTTATCCCCAAACTTTGGTCCAAGCAACAAAAAGAAGAATTGAAATAAATGGGAAGCAGATCAAATGTTTAACATACAGTGCTTTTAAACAGAAATAAATACAGCCTCAGAACAGAAAAAAGTTTACTGTATTAATAAATACTAAAAAAAAAATATCATTCTCTAAGAATCTCATCACAGTTTTTAAACACAGCTCATGATCATAAAACATAATTTTTTTAATCATCCTTCAGAACTTAATCAGGAGAAATAATTTAGAGAAGGTTGCTATTTCTGAGACATTAATCAAAATAAAACTTCTGAAGTTTGTACTCTACAAGTTCACTTCCGACATACTTTTTAGGCACCTATAAGTCTAAAAGACCAGATACTAAGTAATACTGCATACCAAAAACATATGTTCAAAAGTTGTTTAGGCATATAACTGTGACCCACATCATGATCTACAGTCACATTTTCATCCTAAAATCAGATGACAATATTTACCTTGCAGAAACAACAGCTCAGGGAAATAGAGATGACCCCAGAATAAAATAAGAAGTACAACACTACCATTTTCTTTTTCAATAATGCAACAACAGTCATACTGATGGCAATTCCACAAAGAAGAGATACCTTTACGTGTTGCATCCCAATAAGCACATACTAAACAAAAGAAAACCCTAAAACCTTAAAAATATGACAAACCCTAACCAAACACTGGAAGAAAGCACTTTTCCATCACTTCTAATTTATAATTCTGACTAATGAGAAAATGTCCACCTGAGTTGTATGAGGGATAGTTTCTTCATGAGAAAGGCCTATGGCCCTCAGCTGTTTGCAGCAATGTGCCATTACGGAATAAAATAACAATAATTAGGTAGTATTTTCAGTTGTATGTTAGCAGGATTTGTGTATTTTTACTCTCAGTAGCATACACATCTTTCTCCTATAGGGATTGTTGAATTTGGCAGTAATGGTGGCTCTATCACCTTGAAGAGAAATTGCTTCCATTACAATTAGACTTTCCAAAAAAAAAAACCCCAACAAACTAAAAACCCCACCCTTGTATCTATAATTATTTTGGCCATTCATCCCCCTTACATCACATCCTCAAACTGCTAATTTGAAGCAACTGTGAAGAGTCAATGGAGATTTTAACCTGACTAAATTAAGCTCATGTTTCTTGGGAAGTTGCTAATTGGCTGATGATAAGCAGGGAAAAAAAAGCGCCCCTCTCCAGTTCAGCCCAACAGGAGAGGAAGTTTCTCTCACAAAACACAGGGATGTGCTATTTATAGTGCAAAGCATCTTGTATTAAGTTTTAATCTGTTTAGAGGTTTTCTCAGGTAAAGTTTTGGGGCTTATTGATTTTTTTTTTAAGAAGGTATGTATGTTAATTTTCATTGCATTGTTTAGAGCAGCATTGTATGAAAAATTTGTTGGTGATGTTTGTGCACAATTTTCGTGGGTCTGCTGGTTATAGCTGTTTCTTAATAAAGATCTGATTTTAAGTAGCTAGCTCATTTTTCAGGAGTACCCTTGTACATATAGGAAACTGTTGGGGGGTTTTTAAGTCTTTTGTTACCTTAGTGGTATTATTAGTTCCTATTATATCCCTATGCATTTGGTGTTCAGTGTTTTTTTTTAGTTCTTATAATGAAATAAAAAAAGCTTTAGAGTTTTTTAACTTTACACTAGACTTTGTTTGTTTGGTTTTTTTTTTTTTTTCTGAAAAGGTATACTTAAACAAACCTGCAGTGATTTTCTGTGATTGGTAGGGTATATATTTTAAATTTTTTTTCTATTACATAATAATGTTAAACAGTGCAAGTTGTGAAAGACCTGCATATTTAAGATAACTATGATTTCAGATACTTTTGTATTTGGCTATAAGTGAAGCTGTATGCTTGAAGGTTTTTTTTCTTCTGGTAGTACAAGATAACTTTGATTGATAACTTTGATTTCAAAATTTCAGTTACCTTTATAGATAGCTGTTGTGTAAGTCAAATGTTATGTAGTCTAATTTAACTTTCAAAAACAGTTAACAGATTGCACAGGCTACTGTTAACAATGAAAAATAAACTTATGTATACTCCTACTCTTAGTTTTGCTATTAGTTTGGAATTGTTTTGAAAAAAGTTTTTTTCTGAAGAATTTTTTATTTCTCTGAACTGCATAAACTTGTTTACATTTTATGATCTTTTCTTTAGTCATGAATAAAAAGCACTAAAGCTCAAAAAAACCCTTACAGTTCTTTACTGTTTTACATTGAACCCTAACTTTTCAGTAAATCAATATATACTAAGATTTTTTCATGTTAGAGCATTCTCAATAGCTTTGTGTGAACAAAAGGGAAGTTAACTCCACTTCTTGTCTTAAAAAAACCCTAGGACTATATAATCAGTTTTGTTTCTTCAGGACCATATGTTTTTCTACTCATTCATACTTAATCTGTTTTTTTCACACCATTTCTATAAATTGAGTCTTAATTATAGGTGTGTCTTCCTAGTTTTACCAAAAAAAGTTCTACACACTATAATACAAGTGTCTGCTAGCAATATAATGCTATTGCTGGTATCTACTAAATGTCTAGAAGGTGGATGCCAACCTCACCTGATGTGTTTCACTTTCATTTCCTGATGTACTCCTGTGGGCAGGGTAAGAGAGCTCAGAAGCAGTAAGCCTTCTAACACATGCTTTCGTTTTGGTTCAATCATGTGAACACCTTCTTGCAACAGTTCAGCAAAAAATCTTTTTCCTTAAACAGAGCCTGTTTCTCTGATTCTTAGGAAACTATTGGAAGACAACCTCCTTCTAACAATGTCTCGCCTGTACCTGAATAGTAGCTCTCATCTGAAGTGACAGCTAGAGAGCATTGCCCAAATGGTCTCTGAATAAAGGTGCTAGCTCTTTCCAGTGAGTGTTAATGATTTTTTGGATGTATCTGTGGTTGCTTTGGTGTGGTAATTTTTTTAAAATAAAAATTAAAAAACCCCCACCCAACTGTGAGAAATGCTCAGTTACCAATTATCAACGGCTCAGACAGGATGCGGTGTGAAGCACTCCTTATTACATTCTTGCAAGACTGGGCGCCCCACCAGGTGGACGTGCCCAACAGCCATCGTGCAATGGTTTATATTCCTTTCTCCTGACCACGCGTTCCCTCCCCTGATTCCTCTTCCCTTCCCCCTGATTGGCTGAGTACTACAGGGTGTACAGACTTCCTGAACCGATACACCCCTTCATGTATGTGTTCATACGGTGCATGTTCATGGAAATGAACCTTGGCTTTCTCCAGGGCCGAGGAGTTAATATGCATGAACTCATCACCCAAGCATACGAAGACAAAAAAAAGTTCAGAACTCAGCTTCCCCAAGTCTCTCGGTATCTGCATCCATCTAAAGCCATTTCTAAGTACTGGTCATCACAGCTGACAAAAGGGCTAACTGTCTTCTCACCCCTGGCCAGGAACTTCAATGGTTTGCTCTTTCAATTAATAGTTCTCGTTAATTGCTTTGGTGAATCGCTCCTGCCCTTCCCCTCAGGCTGAATATGCGAAACCAGCATTCTTTCCCTTACACCAACCTTATACAAAATCCCTATGAAATGCGTTATGGCAATCTTGAATTTGTTTGCTTTATGGCTGAGTCTTTTACTACCAGTTCTTTAGCTTGTCCTTTCAGTAATGTAAAAACACAAGGTCTGCAAGACTCATGAAGCAGAAAGGGTTCTTAAGGTCTACTGGTGTCAACATGTACTTTGCAGTTATCTGTTACTATTTCAAATTCAATAGCAAATTAGGTGGTTGCTGAAGGTGTTCTGGATTTTAATTTCTCTTGAACCTTTGATTTTGCTAAAAGGACTTGTAGTCATTGCTGGGAAGATGTGGTCCCCGGTGAGCTCTACCTCGGTGGACCCTATTCATAAAGCAAAGCTTGCACAAGATGGTGGCTCGTGGTCAGAGCTGTGCCTGTGGCCTTGGGGAGGAAAAAAAAAAACCCCGCCCAAAATACCAACAAATCATGGCCTTTACCAATTTACTAGCTGATGGTGGTGATGGGGCTGATTTGCCCTTAGGTCAGATGCATCTGTTCTCTGTTCCTGCGCTGAGCAGTTGTTGCACGTTGCCGTGGGGTATCTATGCTCCTGCGTGTAGAAATACGACAGGTAGGCGGTGGTGGATCTCGGAGGGAAGGATTCTGAGTAAAAATGAAGCGGCTTGACTGTGCGGTGGCACTATGACTTCGCTACAGCTCTGGCGGTCCTGTCCGCGCACGGAAACGCGCCTTTTTTTTTTTTTTTTTTTTTTTTTTTTTTTTTTTTTTTTT